AGCCGATTGGTTGGCACTAATCTACGTTAAGGTCTAGGTCACTAATATGGGCCGTGAACAAGGCTGAGTCAACAACCAATCACAGCGAAGTTAACGTGGCAAAATATGATTCGCAGATAGAGAACTCTGTTTGTCAAGGAATCCCGAAACAACCAATCAGAAGCCTGCGTTTGTCTACCTAAACAACCAATCAGATGACTGCGCTTGTCTATAATAATGTTGTCTGAAATATGTATAAATACGTGTTGATTTTCATAATAAAACGATCTGTTGCCTGGCCCTTGTCTTCTGTTGTTACACTTATACCTCTGTGATTACCATAAGAGGATATTTCCTGTATGGTTACTGATGACACGTGACTGCGGTTAGTATAAAAGGGTATCGTATCGCATTCTACTCCCTAATGTCTCATTTACATTCTTAATTAATTTAACCAACAGTCTTTGTCTCTGAAAGTAATCGATAAGGTGTCACTATCCTCTCTTGTTCAATTTTAGCAAAAGGCTGAAGGACTTTGTTCAATAGGCAAAATTGTATGTTTCTCAATAGGTTCTTTTGAGAATTTATATTCCCCTTATATGATGGGGAAGTGGGGGGTCGGGTAGCATATTATTAATGCTAATTAACAAGCTGCAAACCGAAAGACTGATATCAGATGAGCACAGAAGGCGGATTCTATGAGATTTTACAATATAAAGACTTGGCGTTGATCGGCCACGATATGGATGCTGGCATGGTTCTCATAAATAAAGTGCTACCCATCATCATACAAAGATGAAAACAAATTTTTTAGGAGGAACCGCTTAGAAACATCAATGCAGGTAAATGGGAACGAAAATTGCACAGATTCGGAAAAAATAAACAGTGAATCCAAGATAATTAATTCAGAATTATTTGGGCGATTTCGGGCCTACAGTCATGTTAGTTCCCTAAGTACATGATTTTCTAAAATTGCGCAAAGAGAGCATACAAAGCTGTATTCAGTTTGGGACTTCAATAATTCATCAAATTATGCTATTATCAAATAGCTAGAAGACATTCACTTGCCGGTCAGAAATCATCTCCCATTTTAATGTTCCATCCAGTTTACAACAAGATAGTGAGCAAGCAAGTGAAGAGTGGTTAGAAGTATTACTGGTTGCGTTTATCTCACCGTTCCAGGTCCGCTCTTCCTATTACTTCCAATTATGATCCCATTAACTAATATCTTACTGATTCAAGACTGATCAAATTGAGGAGCAATTTGCTTCTGCCTTCAAATTGAATTATATTTAATCGACTTTCACTCTTCGTGATTCCTATGTGTGGAGAGTCTACTTTAGGCTATATTTAAGCTACCTTCATGCTTTAGTGTCTTCAGAATTGGAAATAATAGATTTTTATGCATTTGTTAACACGAAGTGACTGGTTTCCACATAGAACATTGCACAAAAGTGTAACAGTTCAACATTCCACACTCCATGTACTATACAAAGGAAGACAAGAGTAAAACAGGAAATTCCGAACGATAATAAGCAGAATTGTATGTGTGTGTGTGTGTGAAAGAGAGAGAAGTAATAGTAACATGAAAAAACAATAGGGTTTTTCTGATATGACGGATCATAGAGAGTGACTACTGTATCTGAGCTATTGAGAAATCGATTTTGAGCCATATCTCTAATTGATCTTAGCACCCCTGGGACCACAACCAGAAAGTCTACTCTCCCTTACGTGGCTCAGGCTAATTGTGAAAGATTTTCATCTGACCACCACTAGTTCTTTTCTAACTTGATCATATATCAGTTAACACCACCCGTCGAGGAAGGCGATGGCTAGGCGCGCGTAACAGATGCCTTAGTATTGTACCTGTTAATTCTCAAGATGATCTTGTCATTAAGTGAACCTTTCTCAACGTTTTCCCATGGGGTGGAAAATGATATCGACCACCAATATTATCATGTCTCTTACTATTCTCACAAGAGAGTTGAGTTTGAAAACTATCGAGCGTCTTCGTGAAATGTTTATTAACTTCAATCCTCAGTTTGACCGAGAAGCTCATATATGATTGTTAGTGAAAATTCAAACAAACAATATCTTTTCTGTTCAAGAACTTAGATATATATACTAACAATATGGAAGATGTGACCCTCCAAGGAATTGGATGGTAGCATAGGCGAGTTTGCCACTACACAACAGTGTAAGCACACTGTGATATTAGTATTATTTAGTCACTGGTAACGTTTCATAAACAATTTCTGGCTACTCATAATCATATCAAGGCACTCACATAACTTGTAAACATTATTTATATAATTTCATCGCATAAAATTCATTGAAATGAACAAAAAAGGAAAACTAATAGTGAAGTTATTAACCATAATAACATAAATAGGAAAATAAAAATTAGGGCATTTGCATTTTTACCCTACATAAGAAAGGGATATGTAAAACCCTACATAGGATTCTTAATAAAGCAGGAATAACGGTGACATTTAAACCTACAAACTTGCTCAGGAATAAGTTCAATGGGGTGAAGAATCCGCCCGACCTAAAGAATAGTGACCACAGAAGGCAGACGCACTAATGATCTTGAATGCTTAGCATTCATTAGATTACAGAACCCAACACTATTAGATAGCCATTATAAACATTGCGCACTATTTGAGGCGTTAGTTTCATCCAGATCTTGTTTTTAAGTACTGTTCGGATAATGGATTAATAGCACGTAAATGTAAATACTCTTGTAGAGGTTGTATATACACCTTGCAACGTCTTTCCAACGCAACTGATGGATATGTATTCAGGTGTACAGACTGTATAAAAATAACTAGTGTTCGAAATGACAAGTCATACACTATATTCAATAACTTCGGAGAACTTTCTTTTCGCAGTTGGAGTTGTCGCTGACTAACGCAGCTTTTCGTAGGAGAGGAGGTTATAGTTTCATATGGATGAAATTGTTTGGATAAAGAAGAAGTAAAGCCGTGGTTGCCCTAGAACGAATAATGTGTGGGACTTTGCGATAATATCATTGGTAAAGGAATTACCGAAGTAATTCCAAACCGTAGTGCAAGGACTCTCCTATTTATTATACAACGGTTAGTAATTGCGGGTAGTATAATTCCTACAAACGAATGATCAGTACACGACCGCTTATGACAGTTGGGATTCACCCACCGTCGTGTCAATCATTCAGATGACTTTGTCGACCCCATCACTGGAACAAGCATATGAATCCCATCGAAGTATGAAGAACAGGATTCGAGAGATTAAAAAATGTTATTTTTAGTCATCTTGATGAACATAAGTATAGAAACTGGATTTAACTTTTTAAATCTGATACCCCTCACATCGTAACTGCGATCTATTTTTGATTCATATCAAGGAAAAATCTACAGTTTAATACATTTTATTATAACTATTTGTATTTTTCTCCTGAGTTAACGGTTTTTCCATGCCAAAAACAAAGTCTTTTCTCATTGGTGCGTTTTAAAGTCACGTGTGCGTTTTTCGCTCTCCATTGTTGCCATTTTTTATGTTTGCCAAGGGTTCTATTGACCCAATGAGATAAAATAATTTCATCTACATAACTCAGATCAGTAAGTAGATCAGAGGGGGTTAGATAAATGGAACATAAGACATTTAGTTAAGAGTATGTGATGATTGATCGTGACGAAGATGAATAGTTCAGAGAAAGACTCAGTAATCACATTAACAAAAAGAAAACACCACACAATAGATAGAGTGGGACAGAGATACAACCCCTTAAAAAGTAATATATGAGTGAATAGAGAGAGACAAAGGTGTTGATCACTGAGTCCTTATTCATCGAATTCACACACCGCAACACACATGCAAATAGTAATAAACGCAACGACAATATCAATGATATGGAAAGTATTATTGCCAATTAGGTCAAATGATACAAACTAATGAAAATGTGTAAAATAAAGTTTGGAAATGGTGTTGTATGAGAGCTTCGTTATGATTATAAGCAGCAATGAATTCCTCTTCAAAACATCATCAGTGGCCAAATTAAAATACCTGTATCAACTGTGTGCTTTTATCCGTAGTGAATTTCTGCTATTACACTCTTTTGTAGACTTTTTTTTATTCCTTTACGTCGACCAGGTGAGAGACTAACCAGACAGAATATTAGACTATTTTGCTGCTTTTTGCAAAACAGAAATGCGACAGGAAATTTGCATAAAACTATATACTACTTGGTTGATTGAGATGAGTATTTGCATACCACCAATCATATCAACCAGCAGCGCTTGCTTAGCTAGCTAGCTAGCCAGACATGTCCCTCATTTGGGGTCAGAGCTCATCAGCGGTGCACCCAGTTCGACTCAGTTCAGGGAGTCAAACCAGTTCAAGTTACCCAATTTCTGCTTTGGTAATCGGGCAAACTGGTAACACCTATAATCATATTCGCAATTTGCAAACTGGTTAGCCATTTTGCAGTCTACACACTTCGAGTGGTAAAATTTCACTGTAATTTCCCTTGGAAACCAAGTTATCTTAGATCACATAATATGTGATCTGTTTGGTGATACCATACATGGTATATTTGAATAAAACTATGTACTACTGATTGACTGAGGTTATCTGACCAGCAAGCACTACCAGTTGATATGGCTGATATTCAACTACTACTCATCTCAATTAATTAGTAGTAAATAGTTTTAGGCAAATATGCTTGTCACCTGCGAATCAGGAATCTGATTTCTTATATTACCAGTTCATCGAAGTACCTACTGAGAAATCGGATGGTTTGAACTGAATCGGTTCTGTCAGCTGAGCCAAACCACTGATGAGCTCAGCCTAAGAATGAGTGAGACGGGCTGTCCAGTGACAGACAGAAGCATTCAACATAATATATATATATATATATATATATATATATATATATATATATATATATATATATATATATATATATATATATATTCAACAAAGGTAGATATAACACGGTAATAATAATAATAAACAATAATGCAATATAAATATCAACTAACGGTTGTTCTTCAAGTGGTAGATTTTCCAAATTAGCAGGTAAACCTTTCGGTAGATTATTTTGACTAGATGATGACAATTTAGTTTTATTCACTGAATTCCCTGGATAACGTAATCCATTAGATGGATTAAACTGATCCGATGATAATTGTGGGACAGTATTTATACACTGTGAAGGAAGCGGAGAAGGAAGTGGAACAACATGTGATACTGATGTTGAAGATGATGAAGCAGTAGACGCGGAGGTGGAGGATGAGGAAGGAGAAGACGATGACGATGGTGTTGAAGAAGATGACGAAGTGCAGGACGACAAAGTAGTAGTAGCGGGTATTGAGCCGGGGATTATGGATACATTTTTATCCAATGGATATAAGGACTCAGTAGTCATTCCCGTTGCTGTTGTTGTTACCGGGTTCATCATTTTACCAGAGGTGGTTGGAACAATCACTGAAGGATCGATAAAGCGTCCACCTGAAATAGTTATTACAAAAAGAGATATGAGTTGTAATTGTAAACTAACAGTACTATAGACTTTTTAGATCTCATCAAAATGAGGATTCTCATATTCTATATTGAGAAAACAAGCGAATGAATGAAATGTTCTTTCTCCCTTTTTCTCTCACTGACGGTTGTACACTTATATGCAGCATCTTATTGAATAATAATACGCACCTTTAGTCTCCTGTGGGAGATTTAAACACAGCGATAGCGTTAACAACAGTAATGGTTGCCTTGTTTAAATACAAAAGAATTCATTAACCTTAGAAATAATGAATGTGATAAATACTGAAGAAAACTGTACTGACTTTAAACAAGCACTACTATGTTACACAATCAGGCCAGTTAAGAAGAGTAATCTTTAAACACAATACAATTAGTCGCGCATAAAAACAGTAGGTTTTTGAGGGGAAAAAACCCACGGAGATGTGATTTATGGACTTAAATACCAAGTCTTTGTCTAGTGGATCTTCTGTCCAAGTCCCACCATCCCACCCAATTTAGACAAAAACAACTGACCGGTATCATCAGCCTTCACGAGAAATATGTGCGGGTCTTAGTCTGTACCATGAAAAACAGCAGTTGAGGCTAATAGAATTCACAGTTGAGTTTTGAAAAGTTTGTCAGCAATAAATGTATATTTTTCGGACATTAGGTTAGTAAGGAGTTAGGTAATTCTAGTGTAAATTTCATCCAGGAGAGAAATTAATCAATGAATTATAGAAAAAACCAAAGAGCCCTACTTAATAGCTGTTTCATCCCAACTTAGGATTCTTTGTCAATGAGTACTCACGAACTCCAATCAGAAAATGAATTCAGGATAGTTGCGTTACTCACCGTCGATCATAACGCAAAATAAAAAAAATTAGCGTCCAAGGGTTACAGAATTTCAGCTCAATGGAGCTAAATAATAGTAAAATTTGCACCTGTTGGTTATGTGAAGAATCCTAAGCAAAGAGAAGTTGACTATTCAATGCTCCTTGATTATGTAATTGATTTCAGTTTATCGTTTATGACATCAACTGGATCTTCCACACAAATTCAGCTTGTGAATACAAACGAAAAATTGGAAATGGTTATCTTCAATCACTCATATTTTCAGTAATTGAATACACTAATTGGAAATAAACGCTTAAGAACAGCGAAATGACAACATTAGTGCAAAGAGTAAAATAAACTACAACAGTCAAAGAATTATATTATCTCCCTGTATGCACCTATTTACTCATGGTGGATAATTTTGACATTTTTTTAAGTTATACATTTGATTTCAGTTTAAACAGACAGACAGTACACTAAACCTCTTTTTGAATTAGTCTTATGAATATAAAGAGTCTTTAATTAGTAAGTTATCAATGGAACTCCCAGCTAAAGGTATAATGCTGTTATCTGCTTTCATGTTTGTCATAAACAATAATACTCATTTCAAAATACATAACAGTATGACGCGTCCTGATGTTGTACATTATTGCTATTGTTCCCTTGGGTTCCCCAGTGGCCTTCAACAAACCATCTTCATTTTGTCCTGTTCTCTGCAGTCCTCTTAAGCTGGCCTGACGATTACACATAAGGTCTCTTTTCCTTCTCACACGATCTCCTCCATTTCACCTTCCGACATACAATGTCACTCGACGTTTTCCTCAACGTGAGACGATTTATCTCCATTTTCTTCGGAATATTTGTTTAACAATAGGTTATTGATTGGTTTGTTCCCAGAATTTCAGTTTGCTAATTCTTTCTGGCCATCTGGTCTTCGGTGTAGAGTGATGACATATGTTGACAAAAGTCCAGTGTGACCTGTTAGAAATGCTTTTCGTGACAGGTTAGCCAAGTTTCTGACTTAACGATGTTGTACGCATTATTAATATTTCCAGTTGTTATTATGACTTCGTAGAATCTATTGAACACTGAACTTTTCGCAGTCTCAGTCTCAAGGGAGTCGAGTACATAGATGTCAGACTCTGTTGTGCATCAAGTCTACTTCTATAAACCACGAAAATATCCTCGGCACAGTTTGGGCCAGTCTCTTGGATGAAATTTCACTTGACAAATCTTTATTAAATTGTAATATGATAAATACTGGTTCCTTGTGTGATGTCGTTTCAGTAAATAATCATGTAATCTGTAATAATCATGCTTTACTCGTAAGACACCTACTAATATATAATACAAGATAGTCACGTTAAGTGTACTACTACTATTACTAGACAGCTTAGTTAGCGTATCACAAGACATCTTTTATCATGGTTTGATAAAGGACAGATAGAAGCTATCTAAAGTTCTATTTTGTTGCATTTTATTGACATCGGTCATTCAGTGGACAAAGCAAAGACATTCAAGGTGATTCATCGAATCTCGTTGAATAGTCCAGTAAATACAGCTAAGGTGATTGATATTTGAATTAGTAAACCTCAGTTATGCATTCAGGATACGTTCATACAGTCGTTATTCATCTCTTCAGCCAGTGGAGACTTAACCCACGGATTATACCACTACAAGCCCATATATATATATATATATATATATATTGATATTGATATTGATATGTAGTCACATGATGTGTGTGTTCGTTTTTGACAGTCTGTTATATTTTGCTGTGTATATGGATCGATATTTCATTATAACTGACAATATGCTCTTGTCTGTCCACTAACTAAATAAACATGTATGACCTTGTTATCACATGACATTAGAACCAATCATGGTAAGATGTTATCTTATTGGTTCATGTGTATTAACCATTTTCATATATACTTTGCATTGTACATTTTATCATTCTCGTTCACACATATTTCGTACATTTCGTACCATTTCACTCACACTCTTGTGCGACATTTATTTTTCTTGTCTGGAAAATACAAGTATCATCGTATACCTGGTGGTCTTCTGATTTCCCTCTTTCCGCGTCAGGACTATTAACTACTCGACGAGTACATAACATAATTTGCGACGGGGATAACTCTAATAACTCACTCAGCAGCGGTACATAACATATTTCTAGTTGTTTTCGTCCCATTTCACGTTAAATAACGTCTCCCAAGTCTTATTGCATCTTTATTAAAACTTAGTTTATTTACCTCTCTTACAATCTAGTATTACATAGTCTTAATATTTGTTCTATAAGCCTTTATCCACTACGGTATATTCGAACATTTGTTTATTTAGTCATGCTGTTATTCATTATTCTTATTATCATAGATTGCTCCACTTTTCCATTTTTTGTATTGCTAAAAGTATTATTATTATCACTATGACTAATTGCACAATACATATGTATAACCTTATAATCACGATGATTGGTTTATATTGACTATCTGTTTGTAAAGTTATGAATATCAGAGTAAAGCCTGATGAGATCTAATCGAAAACAATGTTAAAAATAACATCATTTTCATCATGAGGTAGAATTTGTTAGAGAAGTATTGGAAAACCAGGTGGAAGAACTGGACATATGTTTCATCCCAGTTTGGAACTCTTCATCAACACGCACCTCCCGGGGTTGGAAACCAAGACCTTCTAGTTACAAGGCAAGATCGCAGGCCATTAAGACACTGGGACCCAACCTAATGGCCCATGGATTCCAACTACTGCTAATTCACAACATAGCGCAACCACTAGCTAATATCCTGAACTAGGACGTAACACCGTCTAGTACTCCCAGGTTTTCCAGTGGTTCTCTAACAGATATCAGCTGATGATGAAATCCTGTAACTAATCAAATCCCTGCAAACCAATGCTTGAATATTCTTTTCCATAAATTCATCATCAGGTTCTACATTTATGTGACTATACTAATGAAAGAATTATTGTGATTAACAACATTAAGGTTTTAAATGAAATTGAATCACTAGCATCAGTCAAAGATAATATGCATCAATATAACACTAAACCGGGTGGATCTGTTTCTTTTGCATAAACAACTCTGGTTGGTTTAAGCAATGGCCTTTGATCTTTCAAGTGCTACATAATTAGAGGCCTTTGGTAATTTATTTGGCACCCGATAGATGATAGCCAAAGATTATTCCACTGCAGATTTTGTGTCCTGCTTGGATAAACGATCTACTATAGAACTATTGATTCTCTTAACAACAGTTTTATCTAGCCATACACTGGTAGGTGTTCCTGAGGACGAAAAATTAGGTCCCTAGAGCGAACTTCAATATAGGAGCAACTGAACTGATAGATACAAGAAGAGGATAGTGTCTGATCTTGATACTTCATCATTCAGTTGAGGATTCACCGCCGGCTGTGTAGAAAATATAAGCTACAGCTTACCGACGTCAAACGTTCTTTGAATTGTAGTCATATATAAAAATATATTCGTATATATAGAAGCTTCTCCTTAACAGATACGGAGTTTTTCAGGATAGCTGTTTTCAATTAACGTGTTGTCTACAACCTTAATTTCATCTTCAACCTCCTCTTCTGAACAAATAGTACTGATCCTCAAACTCCTGAGGATCTTTACAAAATTTCTTTTATATACCGGAAAGAAAGGAAGCTGTGAAATGCATGTATTGTTCATTTACATGATGTCAATCTAGGCCTTCGCGTGATTTGTTTTCCGTTTTGATTCTTCACATTCTACTGAGTTTTGAGTGAAGGATCAAAGGGCTTCAAGCTTTGAAAACCACCAGTATTGCTGGTGTTAGAAATTTTTAAGTATGGTGAATCGTTAGCTTCACACACCTAACTTGTCTTCTTTTCCAGGCATACTATCACCTAGTAAACTGAGGGTGAGAAGGATCTCTTCGTTAGGAGTGCATCGATCGAGAATCGAACCCAAACGTTCCGCTTAGTTGGCGAGACCATTGTACAACTGAACTATTGATGCACTCTAAACTTTGAACAACCATAAATATATACACATTTTTCTAACACTATTCATACAAACGTGTTGAGACGGTGCTATTTTTTTTCTTGTACTAACACCTTATTTGTATATAAAACATTTAGTAAAAATGATACTTTTAAACTACTCATTCTCTTCGATTAATTTGTTAGCTCAAGAACAATAAAACAAAATGAAACACATAAATCAATTAATTCACTTATGAACAACAAAAAGCTTTTTAAATTGGTAGAACAGAACAATTATGAAAGATTAGACTGTTAAATATATATAAATATTTAGTAGTTTACAAAAAGGATAAACGTCTCAACTTTTGTGAGATTATGTTACTTAGAGTGGGTCGCGAAGATATATTCAATTTATTAGTCAACATTCTATTATATACCTCCTTAATGATTTATTAGAAGTGGAGACAAGAGTAAGACACTGCTGGCTACTATCACTGATGCGATGATTACAGACTGTGGTGGACTGGATCATGCGTGAGAGAGAGATACGGTGAAACGATAATAAGGAGACTTTAGAAGATCTGAACTTCATGCATGTAACTTATGTCTAATGTCACATATTTATTATTACTCCTTGGGTTCCTAGTGGAACATAGGGCTTCAACTGTACGTCTCCACTTGCTTCTATCTTCCTTCTGCTGTACTTTTCACATGCATCTATGTTAGTCCATACTCTTTCAACTCCTCTTCACTTCACACGATCTCCTCCATGTCACTCTTCCACTGACGTCCCACTCGCCGCTCCCCTTTCAGGTTCCACTCGAGCAGTGGCCTGACGCACACGCGATGTCACCCAGCGGCCTCCTCAGCCACGAGTGTCCAATCCATCTCCACTTTCTCCTGCATATTTGTTGGTTGGCGATTGGTTCTTGTTCTGTTCGTTTGTTCCCATAGTTTCTTGTTGGTGATTCTGGTGATTCCGGCCCGGCCATCTGATCTTCAGTATAGATCCAACGAAGACATTTGTCGATAAAGGTCTGCAACCTGTTGGAAATATTATTTTCTAATGTCACATAAATTTGAAAAATTACAGATGAAAATGAACATATTCGCAGAACCAGCTAACTGGTCGAAGAAGCAGCCAGAAGTCAGAACTGCAATTGGACATACGGAAGACGAAGGTGATGAAGATAACCAACTAACCAACCAAACACCACCACTAGCAACAACAGCCACTGAACACTATTAATGGAATAAGTTTGAAAGAGGTCACTTCCTTCACTTATTTAGGCAGCACTGTTTCACCTATATGCGACAGCACGGTTGAGGATGTCAAAACCGGGATCGGAAAGACAAGGCAGATATTCATCACTCTGAAGACAGTTTGGAAATCTTCTGAACTCAACAGAAACAACAAAATTCGGGTTTTCAACACCAATGTCAGTTATTTCTTCTATATGATTCAGAAACTTGGTGCGCTAGTCACTTAAAAAATTTCCAACAGCCTGCACCAGACTTTTATTAACGACTGTTTTCGCCGGCTCCATACTGCAGACTAGATGACCAATCAGAAAAGATTAGCTACAAGAAACTCTGACAACGAACCAATCAAGAACCTATTGCTCAACGAATATACCGAAGAAAGTAGAGACAGATCGGACATACACTGAAGATATCTCCAGGTGGCATAGCACACCAGGATAACCCTCAACTGGAACCCGAATACAAAACGAATAGTTCTGCATTTGTCCGAGGGTGATATGAAGGAGATGACAGATAATGGGTAACCATGGGACCAAGTGCAGAGGAGTGCAGAGGACAGGACAACACGGAGATGTGTTGTTGAAGGCCTATATTCCATTTAGAATAATAATAATAATGTTAATATAAAGTCGTACAGCTGTCATATAGGTACACGATAAAAATAGCCTTTTCGACTTTATAAAAATTTATTGAGAGAATTGGGTGCTGCTGAAAGGATGGTGAAAAGAGCTGTCCAAAATCTATGATCTGATTCCGACAATTATCGATCAAGTATGCAGTGTGACTTAATTAGGCATGTAGATTATTGTCGACTTGTATTAAATCATTTCTCATATACTTAGCAGAGGATCAATAAGTAGTTCCGTTTGAACTGAGTTCTATGCAGTATGTAGCGGTTTTAGTGAGTCGGTAGTTCGGTGGAACAACACTCATCAACCATCCACCTGGTCCGGGGTTCGATTCCCTACTGATGTACTCCGAAATCTCTCTTAGTCGAAAAGCAAAACCATAAAATTAAAATGAAAACAATAGCATTTAGTTTTAAATCAAGAAAAGACAGTAGTGGTACTAATAAAAATTAAATGTATCCTATTTACACACATCTAAATTACATAACAATACTTCAGTTAGAACTTACGCATTAATTCAGAGACCAATTGACCATGACGTGCATCCCAAGATTCATCACAACTGTCTGTAGAAATACTGTCTAAATCATTCGGTATAACAGACGGTATAGGACGACTTGCTGGCCTACCTTTGAAATCATTTGTATCATTTCGAACTGTACTCAATCGACTAGACTCTTGTGATGATTGACTTGAAGATATGCCATATTTTTGTGAATGAGGATGATGACGGTGATGATGTGATGGAACAGCAGGAGGCGGAGGAGGAGGAAGAGGAGTAGACGTGATAGTATGATGCGGATTACTAGAATGGATAGTGTTACTACAATGACTTGACTTCACAGTTTTAGTAATTCCTGTTGTCGGCGTATTCGTGTATTTCGGTGTGGTAGGTATAATGGAAGAGTCATTGGATGAATTATTAATAGCAAGATTTAAGTTGTACTAAAAAAAAAGGAAAAATATAACAATGTCACAGTCTAAGTTGTTTTGAGAACCACAGTAATCAATCAACTTCATAGACATTATAAATATTTATAAATAATATAACAGCTTTGATAATACAACAACTCAATTATGTAACGCATTAGTAGTCAAAGCCTTGGAACCAAATTCATTGATGAGTATATAGACCTATATATACATAGTTTAGTGAATACACGAGGTTACCTATCATAAGCTTTAAGAATATCAGCTTCATTCTAGAAATTTCTTTTTTCTTTCTTTTGTCATAACCTAACGTATTCCTCTAAAGCTGATTTAACTAAATCTGTTGATTTTAGTTTCAGACGTGAACAAGACTTGTGGGGACTGATTCAGTCCCTTGATTTTTGTAATACTGATGACAGAGGGGGGGGGCGGGGTGAAAACGACTAAATCGAATACCTCCTATCTTAGCATCAGTTTCTCTTCGAATCTCTGTTGATCTTTAAGAAAAGCTTTCGTTTGACTTATGGAAGTTGAGATTTTATGACATAAGTCAGCCTCTTCCTTTGCAATTTATTGATTCACATATTCTGCCCATTCTTCCCTATTGTCACACATTATTCTTCCCTGGGCTTCTCAAAAAAGGCTGTTACGTAGAATACTGGAGACTGTAAACAGGGTTAGTAGTGTCTGTGTGTGTGTCTTTGACTCATCTGACTGTCATATTATTGTTGATAATGCATCCTAATTCTTGCAAGTCAATGGCTAAAGTCATTTTGTCTGATATCGAACATCCTCTTCTCCTTGTTCGCAACTTCCTCCTTGTATCTCTTCGAGGGGTGACACCACAAGAAATTTCATGAGAATTTATGTTTGTACAACCATACCATATTTTGCACAGATTTTCGTGTGAATAGATAAATATCAAAAAAGAGCTTTAATCAACTTTAAATCAGTAAATAAACAGGAAACTATATTCAGAATTATTATTACACATGTTATTCTTCTACTGGCTTTCAGTTCTTGCGGTTTTATTATTTTTTAAAACTATTCTATGTATTTATATATTTATAAAAAGAGATAAACTGCTGCAATATGTGTGAAAACGCTGAAAATACCATCCTGTATGAGTATTATTGTTTGAAATAAAGTTATCAGGACTCTCACCAACTATCCACATGGTCCGGGGTTCGATCCCCTATCGGCGCATACCACATATCTATGGTAGGTCTGCAAAATTTGGGCTACCGATATCATATGCTGAAGATTCCATACTTCTACCAAAAAGTACTGTGTGGAATCAAGCTGTAATAATAAAAAATTAATCCTCTACAAGTTTTTTTCCTTCATTTTCCTCTTCAACTGTACAGTGGTAGATTGAAATTCAAGTAGAAATATCTGTGAGTTCGTATAACTATATCCAACGACATAATTGAAAGATTGAAACAAGAAATGCAGATGGAGTAAATAGTATTATGCTGCGGTACCACCAGAAACTTTTACGAGACTGCTAAAAAACCAAAACGACCACTCACTACCTTCTGTATCGAAACTAATTATTTTCCTGTCGTATTCCTAACCACGTAAATGTGTGCACATCATAGCAAAAGTGATGAATACTACAGTTGCTTTTTTTTCTTTCTTTAAAACCCGGAGAAGTGAGTCATATTTCAGCACACAGACGCCGCTTATCAGTAAGTGTTTTATAGATTTTTAAAGTGAAGTACAATGACTTGAAAAAGTACACCATAAACGCATATGCAGTTAAAAACAAAGTGTGTACAGCACAGCTATGAAATAAGTGTAATGAATGAAAGAAAAATTCATTGTCTCAATTTGATTGAGATTTTAATGGAACTGAGGAAGTAATTTTGAATGTTTAAGATACGTATCAAGTACCCGTCACTGTCACAAGATTCTTGCGCTGATTCGAATCACTGAAAATACCCCCCTGTCTGTCTGTTTTCGACATAGAACTTTGCACAAATGTGCGGAAGTTCAAGTCGCCACACTCCGTGTAGCACGCGAATCAAGAGAAGAAAGTACAAGAAAAGCATAATAGAAACAATGAGCAGAGGTGTGAGACAAAGGAGTAATAAAGAAAAACAAAACAGTTTCATTGGAGATCATAAGTCACAAGGAGTGGATGCATCTGCACCAGCCATTGAGAACGATTTTGAGCCATGTCACCAAGTGTTTCCAACCATAGATTTTTACCGTTCCGAGGACCCCAGCCTGGAAGTCTACACCTTCCTACGTGGCTTAGACCAACTGTTGTGGATTTCATTGACTGGTGCCAAGTTTTTGTTTGACCACCGCTAGCTTTTTTCCAGTCTGACCCTACATCCGCTAACATTGCTCGTCGAGGGAGGCGATGGCTTGGCATACGTAACACATGTCCTAACCATCTCAGTCTTTGTAACTTCACGACTTCGTCGATTGATTTCCCCTGTTTACCTAAAACTCGACGCCTAACCTCCATGTTGCTCACCTTATTATGCCACTTCACACGGGAAATAGAGCGGAGGCACCTATGATCAAAGACAGCTAGACAGGCTTTTCATGTCTTTCACTCTCACTGGCCAGGTCTCACAGTTGGCCATAAAGGAGGACGGAGCGGACTGATGAGCAGTACACCCGCCCTTCGGTCGATAGTCGAACATCTCGTCTACGCCAGAGTCGGCGTAAACTGGCAAATGCGAAGCGAGCCCCCTGTATTCGTGCTGAGATGTCGTCAGAGATCAACCCGTTGGGGCTGATGGTGCTTCTTAAATAAGTGAAGCGGTCAATGTGCTCTACCACTTCACTTCCTATTTTTTAAACTAGGCGTCGATGTAGTCCAGTCCTGTAACATCACCCCCTGGGTAGTCATGAAGAAAATGAATGGGCAATTCAGCGAAGGAAATTTCCTCTGTCGACGAAATCATTTTCAGAGGCGACTGTACAGTCGTATTTATATCAACCAAAAATGTATAGTAGTCTATTACATTGAGTAATAGGTAGGCTGACATAATTGATATAATTACTCAGACGTGGCTTCAAAAGTAAAAATAAAAGCTATAAATTACGTAATACTCAACGGTACAAAAGAAGAAAGCGTTAGAAACTTGAAATTCTACCATAGCCTTAACCTCTTCACTAGTCGTTCCCGGTGAATTTTTAATGATTACTTTGCTTTTAGTTTAATATAATTAGTTCACTATATTATCACTCTTACATATTCCCTTTATACAGTTTTCTCACACTCTTCACACTTGCTAAATGGACACTCAACTACCATCTTTCTTCTCACTCAATAACAATTTTAACCTTAACAAACTTCTAATGATTTCTTCCTTTGTACCGTTGAGTATTATGTAATTCGCAACTTTGAGTTTTACTTTATAAGCCACTTCTGAGTAATTATATTAGTTATACCACCCACCTCCCTATTATTCAATAATGGACTACTACACATTTTTGGTACATATAAGTTATGACTGTACAGACTGTGAAGATGACTTCGTGGATAAAGAAAATTTTCTTCTCTGAATTTGCGTTTATTTTCTTCATAACTTTGAATGACAATAATAATATCAGTAATAATAATATGATGACAAGAAAGTTTGAAATTCCATTATGAAATATTACTTCATTTTCCCCTGTAGACACATCAGAAACCTACTACAGAAGACAGAGGAGATAATAAGGCCTGTGACAGACAGTAGAAACACAATGACCAAACCCTAATTGGACTTTATTCTCTGACTGTGATTGACTTTGCACATATTTCATATAGCACACAAAAGTAAAGAAAAGAAAAAAAAGAAATAACTACAAAAGAACAATAATAATCAGCAATGTATGGGAGAATAAGTAGAGAGATGGGAAAACATGAGGATTTAATGGATTTGGAAGAGATTACAAAGACGGAATGTATCTTTGGCATTAAGAACAATTTCGCGCTATATTTCACTAACAGTCCGCAGTCATCGGTTCATAGCATCCCAATGACCCTTAACCAGATGGTTTACAACTCCGTGAGTGATTAAAATCTTCAAGTATTGGATTTGTAGGGATTTTGTTTGATTGCATGGAGGATTTCATTATGAGCCACTGGAAAACCTGAGAGTACTAGACAGCTGTTTTGTCCTAGTGAATTGGCAGAATTTAGAATTCAAGGACCATTGGATCGGGTCCCAGTGGCTCAATGGTCTACGAGCTCGCCTTGTAACCAGAAGGTCCTGGGTTCGAAGCCCGGTGGGTGCGTACCGCTGAAGAGTCCCAGACTAGGATGAAACGGCTGTCCAGTACTCCTAGGTTTTCCAGTGTTTCTCTAACTGATGTCAGCTCATGATTAAATCCTCCATGCAATCAAACAAAATCCCTACAAAACCAATATTTGAAAATTCAATTATATTTCATCCTTTAATCAAGATTAAACAGGTGACTAATAGCAACTTGGTGGATGAATTCCTTACTTCAATTTCATAATACAAAACAAAAACAAAACAACTGTCAAATACTTGTATTATATATATATATATATATATATAGGCAGTGTGAAAAAAGAGATGCGACCCATAGCCATGAGAAGTTGCTACACAGATAACAAAAGTTTACAAAAAAAAAATAACTAACAATCAATCCGTGATCAAGCTTGAAAAAAATCTAATCCCTATAAACGAACTTCTGGAGTTCTAGTGCCCAGTGGGTTCCACCCGGTCAAGTGTGAGGGCAAGTACTCACTGAAGACAATGGCTCGTAGCAGAGGTAAAATCACGAACCGATTGAAGCTAGAATTTATAAGCCATTGGATAGTCTCCCATTGGCTGAATAGTCTATGAGCTCGCTCGCCCTGTAATTGGAAGGTCATGGGTAAGTAATGTTGAATAGCCCCATATTAGGAGGGAACGGTAACCTCGTGCTTTAATAATTCTCTAACTGGTATCAATCTGTGATCAAGCTTGAAACAAAATAACTCCTGAAAGTAACAAGAAACTTTCAGATAAGACGACTAACTGACTAGTTTCAATAAAGATGCTTACATAGATGTGCACCAGTTCGAATCGCCACACTCCATCCACGTAGCACACAATGCAAGAGAAGAGAGTAAAGATTTTGGGTCGAATCCCAGTGGCTTAATGGTCTACGAGCTCGCTAGCCTTGTAACCGAAAGGTCCTGGGTTCGAACCCTGGCGGTGGATGCGTACTGATGGGGAGTCACAAACTAGGACGAAACACATTGGTGTCTAGTACTTCCACGTTTTTCAATGGTTCTCTAACTGATGTCAGCTCATGATGAAATCCTCCAACCAATCTGTGTGTGTGTGCGTGTACATTAGGTTTGTCCAATAAGAATAAAAATAAGTTAGGGTTGTCATTGTTGTCAAGACATTTCATAAATGTGATGAATAATCAAAGTGTAACTAGCGAGGGAGGCAGGGGGTCAAGATTGGTAAAAAAGGTAGTGGTGATGCGTTGTCAAAGGCAGTTATTAATGTTAATCAATATATAAAAGAAGTTGAATAAGCGCTTAATATAGTTACGAAATAAATAAGATGAATAGTTCAATCAGTAAGTTTTGATTAGGATGCACATAGAAACAAAGGAAGGAAAATGACCTTCTACTCCCACCTACCTAGCACTCGATCGATACCTGACCTCAATATTGCTCAACCTATTATACCACCTAACACGGGAGATAGAACGTAGACATCTATGATCAAACACAACTAGCCTTTTCATATCTTCCCCTTTCGATAGCCATGTCTGTCTGACAGCCATAACGGGGGACGAAGCGAAGTGCTGAGCAGTACACACGCCCTTTGTTTAATATAGCGTTAAATCACACACACTCTGTCGCATACATCCATACAAATCCCACATCTACGTGAAATAAGTTCTCATTAGAAGACTTACTTTAACACCCATATTCCATGAACCATTGTAAGCGTAATCATACTCGCCAGTACTGTTTTCTGTTAGTTCTGTCTTTCCATTTACCTGAAATTAACAAAAAACAACAACACGGGAATTATTACAGTCTTTAATAGAACGAAGCATTGCTCATTCCAAACAGTGTGTAGCTTTTTATCTTTAGTAGACAGTTTTCAAGAGCTAATTCGTAGAGATTTGTTTTATTTCAGTTTGACTGCGCATTGATATCAGCTGAAGAATCGTTGAATCAACCGCAAGGGAGTACTGGACAGCTATTTCGCCACAATCTGATGCTCAATAGCGACTGAACCTAAACAAGAAGTTATCCAGTATTCGAGTGAGAAGTTGTAACCAGAGGGTTCCACCAAGCCAGGCAAGAGGACAGTCATCCCGCCTGTGACATTGGTTGGAGATTGTGCTATATATACATTACGAATTAGCAGAAGTTGGAATCCATGGATCATAGGGTCAGGTCCCATTGGCTGAATAGTATACGAGCTCGTTCGCCATGTGACCCTAAGGTCCTGGGTCGAAACCCTGGCTGGCGTGTACTGACGAAGAGTCTCAAATCAGGACGAAACATCTGTCAGCTCATGGGCTATCCTGTATTACGCCCTAGTTTGGGACCATCCGACCGGGTATTGAACTCAGGATCTCCAAGTTACGAGGGTAAGCCCATTGATCATTCAGCAAATGGGGACGGAATCCAACCACCCGTCAATTCTAAATTCTTTCAATTGTCGAATTTCAGCACGACCCCTAGCCACTGTACTAAACATGCATATTCTTTAGGAGTAACATATGTCGGATAGAAATAATGCTTATAATTAGATATTTACATTTTCTTCCATTTAAGCAAAAAACACCACACTTCATAATTTCTGATCGTCCTCATACCCCTTAAAAATTAGTTTCACATAGATATGCACCCTTTAATACGACAGTTCTCTCTGTATATGGTAACGCGAAAAAAAATTCACAATGGGTTTACAAATTGTTACTCGCCTACACATACATATTCATGTTCGCAATTCAGCTAATAGAACATGCTACGAAATATGCTGGATTGACATGTTTTTATAATAGTAACAATACAAACTCATTTCAGAAATAAACCCTCAATAAACGAACTGGTACGGATGAGAGTGTGGGTAGACTTCGATGTCCCTCCCAAAACACTCTCTTATATGGCTGCGCGTTCATAACCTCGGTCAGGTAACTCCTACTTACTGTCTTCATGCAGCCAGGGTGTTCCTCACAAATGTGAAAGAAAGAGCTAATTTGAACGTCTGATTCTTACATCTGGAGTGATGGACAGGTCTACCTAGTAGGGTAGCTGCAAAACCCGTCGTTGCTACAACATCAACCGAATTCCAGTACTGGTCCAACAACGCCGCCTTCGGTGGTTTGGCCATGTTCTGCGCCGACCAGATGACGATCTGGTCAAATCAGTTCTAAATCCCTCGCCATTAACATCTTGGCGATGTCGCAGGGGTGGACAGCTGAAGACATGGCTTGGTACAGTCAAGGCTGATATGGAGTGCCCGGGGCTACAAACCGTCTACGGACTCCGTATGTGGAACAAGAACTGGATAGTCCTGTCGCAAAATCTTGAATCAGATAGCCGCGCCTGGGCAGCGATGATTCGAGACGTTCATGAAGCCAGCTAATCCTCCCGCAGGAGATAGCCGAAGTAAAAAAAAAGATTACAAACCTATGGTGATGTACACGGGATCTATAATCTAACTAGATCGAATGGGGCATATGAACCTGTTTTTCAGTCACCTAATTATCATGGGTGACGTAGCTCCTGATGCCGCTCCAATGCATTGTGGATCAGATCAGACTTTAAGTTGTTTAATTTGCCCACAGCCACGCTCAACCTTCCGAGCATCCAACACCTCCATGAATGGGATATAGACACAGGTCCTCCTTCCCTAACCGAGGTTACTATAGTTGTCACCAATCTGAAACTAGGCAAAGCAGCAGGACCTGATGGAATCACTTCAGAGGTATTTAAGCACGGTGGAGACAGTTTACTGTCCGGATTAACTGAAGTTCTAAGCAGCGTCTGGGAATCAGAAGAAGTCCCATCGGGTTGGTGTAAGTCACTGATTATCCCCATATACAAGAAGGGAGACAAGTCTTCCTGTGATAATCACAGAGGGATTAGCTTGACTAATATAGTATCTAAAGCCTTAGGCCCAATAATCATGCGTAGACTAAGTGATACTCGAATGGCACAAACACGAGAGAGCCAGGCAGGCTTTAGACCAGGAAGAGGGTGTATTGATCATATCTTCACCCTCCAACAGATTCTAGAACATAGGAATTCCTACCGGCGTCCAACAGTCATTATATTTCTTGACCTAAAGGCAGCATTCGACTCTGTCGATCGGGAAGTTCTCTGGAGATGCTTGGCTGTAAAGGGAATTCCAAGAAAATATATTGCACTGATTAAGGCACTCTACTCGTACTCATACAGCCAGGTGAGGGCTTACGGCGAGTTGTCATCTGAAAGGGTGACGACCAGTGGTGTCCGTCAAGGATGCCCATTATCTCCTTTTCTATTCAACTTCATCATAGATGTGTTAATGGACTTAACCCTAACTCACTTCAGCGACTCAGGGATTGACTTGCTACCAGGGAATAATCTTGCTGACTTGGAATATGCAGACGATATAGTCCTTCTAGGCGAAGACGCTGACAAAATGCAGAGTCTTCTAAACACCTTGAGCCGCAATCTACGAATGTTTGGCATGCGATTCGCTCCCGCCAAATGCAAGATGATGTTACAGGACTGGACTACATCGACGCCTAGTTTAAAAATAAGGAGTGAAGTGGTAGAGCACGTTGACCGCTTCACTTATTTGGGAAGTACCATCAGCCCCAACGGGTTGATCTCTGACGAAATCTCAGCACGAATACAAGGGGCTCGTTTCGCATTTGTTAGTTTACGCCGACTCTGGCGTAGACGAGATGTTCGACTATCGACCAAAGGGCGGGTGTACTGCTCATCAGTCCGCTCCGTCCTCCTTTATGGCTGTGAGACCTGGCCACTGAGAGTGAAAGACATGAAAAGCCTAGCTGTCTTTGATCATAGGTGCCTCCGCTCTATTTCCCGTGTAAAGTGGCATAATAAGGTGAGCAACATGGAGGTTAGGCGTAGAGTTCTAGGTAAACAGGGGAAATCAATCGACGAAGTCGTGAAGTTACAAAGACTGAGATGGTTAGGACATGTGTTACGTATGCCAAGCCATCGCCTCCCTCGACGAGCAATGTTAGCGGATGTAGGGTCAGGCTGGAAAAAAGCTAGCGGCGGTCAAACAAAAACTTGGCCTCAGTCAATGAAATCCACAACAGTTGGTCTAAGCCACGTAGGAAGGTGTAGACTTCCAGGCTGGGGTCCTCGGAACGGTAAAAATCTATGGTTGGAAACAATTGGTGACATGGCTCAAAATCGTTCTCAGTGGCGCAGATGCATCCACTCCTTGTGACTTATGATCTCCAATGAAACTGTTTTGTATTTCTTTATTACTCCTTTGTCTCACACATCTGCTCACTGTTTCTATTATGCTTTTCTTGTACTTTCTTCTCTTGATTCGCGTGCTACATGGAGTGTGGCGACTTGAACTTCCGCACATTTGTGGAAAGTTCTATGTCGAAAACAGACAGACAGAGAGAGGTGGTCCCCTTAAAACAACCACCTACTTAGGTCTGGGTGTCCGGAAAGTAGTACTACTGTTTTTTGTGTGGCCCACCTTTAGGTGACAATCATGTACCAAGTTTGTGTTTTTAGTAATATTTATAATAACCTTCTTAAAATGACGACATTGGTAATCACATAAACCACATTACGAGAACACTGATAGCTTCCGTACATCCCCTATTCTTAAATAATTATATTTCAAAGACTTTTTTCCTTCACATCCCCCAGTGGAATATAGGGCACCAAGCTATTGGATTGAAGTTCCTGTATCAGTGTTTAATTTTACAGGATGGAGTTGCTAGCCTCATGCCCAGCCTTTCCTCTTTGCCAGCATTATTTCTGGCTTAGCGAGGTAAGGGAGTGCGTCGGCCGGGGATCGAAACCCGGACTATGTGCATGGTTGGCGAGCGTCCTAACCACTATGCCACCGACGCGCTAAGACTTTTAGAAGGATAGAAGGCAGAAAAGCAAGGTATAGGCATCAACATATATCCCACCGTTATTTACAAATAGCATAAGTAGACAAAAACTGACCAAACATGGTATATTCCTGTCATAATAAATCCTACAGGATCATATTAATCAAGTGATATCAGAAATTCTGATTTGACTACTAATGATAGTTGCCAGTGTAACGGTAAAAGACGAGAGACTTGGTAAAGTAATCTTGATTTGGAATTTGGTATCTTTAATATAACCAAATTATGTAAACCTTATCTTCAACGCACCATTTGCACAGATCTTTCGTGTTGTGCTAGTTCTCGCTTTCCTTCATACTGTGTTTCTTTGTGTTCCTTTCACGTCTCCCATGTATCTCTAAATCGCTATATCATTTGCTTTCTCCGACATCAAATCTATCTCCTTGTTATTTGATGTTTTTCTACCGATAAACGTCCCTTTATATACTATTATTGAGTCTTCCCGACCGATGGCTGCTACCTTGACGTGATGGTCGGGCTTGTACAGCGTAATGACCCAACAAGCTACACTGGCTGGAACTATTGTTCCTGCAGGTCCTACCATGCCAGGAAGCTTGTTAGGATAGCGACTGGACTAAAAGTAGTTACCGGCATAGTGTAAGAATTTTTTCTACACTATGATGGGGGTATGTGGACGAAGTCGCACTGCTAGGGAACAAGAATGTAACAGCAGTAAGGTGTTTCCATCAGATGACCAGCATGCCGCTAGCTATGCTGTCTCTTCACCCTGGAGAGAGAGAGAGGGTTAGAAAATGTCGAACCCAAAAATTGTACATCCCGACTTACCCTACGGTGGTGCGTAACCAGCGGTAAGTTTACTAATACGGAACCAATCTCAGAAACCAGTTCATACAGGCCGTGTGTGACCGGCCTCAAGCAGTTGTTCTTTCGGCTCTGTGGTCACGCAACACTAACCCTCTCTCTGTTTCAGGTACCCGAAGAATCAATCAACTTCCATGGTGTGGGCAGCAGGGAAGTAACAACCACCCAAACACTTCCAAAAGCACACGAAGCCTTCCTGAGCAGTCAGATAAATCTTATCAGGCCATTCGGATCCCGTCCCTATTGCTAAATTCTCAAAGAGCTCGCTGTGTAACCTGAAGGTCCTGTGTTCGATCCTTACATTGAATGGTGGTTGTGTTAATATACATTGTGAATTGGCATAAGTTGGAATTCAAAGGCTGGTCTCACTGGATCATATCCCAGTTGCTAAATGTTCTACGGGTCTACCTTGTAACCGGAAGGTCCTGGCTTCAAACCCCAATAGACGAGTACAGATGAAGGGTCCCAAACTAGGACGAAACAACTGTCCGGTACTCCCTGCAGTTTTTCCAATAGTTCTCCAAGTGATGTCAACTCGTGATCAAACCTGTAACTAATCAAATCCAAGCAAACCAACAACCTAGGAATTCTGAGTGGTCTCAAACATCAATTAACAGCACAGAGCATTAGCCGGTTAGTTAGGATAAAGATAACATATACTTATTTCTTAAAGCGACAAACATGTTATTATCAACAATAACAGTGATAGATAAGAAACATACCATGAATACATACACTCATTCACTCACACGCACCCCCCCACCACACACACACACACACACAATGTAATGAAGTCAAATAAACACGTAAATATACACATGAATTACACATACCATATGACTAGAAATTGAATTACGTTGTGAAGGATCATTGTTTGGTTCATTATGATAAAATAATTGATTTATACCGTTAACTGATTTTCCGTTATTTTTATTTTTATAATTACAAGCATCATCATCATCATCATAAACATTTTTATTATCAGTAATTAACATTTCTGAAAAATTGGTCATTTTTGCTGACTTGTCATCTGATGAATTTGTGGTAATATTTAATGCTTTGAAATCAGTCTCTACTGTTTGTACATTATCATCAGTTAATTTGGCTTTATTGCATACTGATGATGAATTCTGAGATGGTGTAGCACCACCACCAGTGGGGAAAGAAGGTAACGATGGAATGTGATTCGGCGTAGCAGTAGTATTAGGAGGAGCAGCAGCAGCGGTAACAGTAGTTGGTGAGATTGGAAGAATTGATGGTAAACGGGATACACCGACGCCAAGTTGACGAGCTAATTTCACGTCCCAAGCTTCTTCGTATGTTGGATAAGAACTGGATACATTGGGGCGACCACGTCCTGTTCCCATTGGATTGTTATTATTATTGGCGGTGGTGATGTTGTTGTTATGCATAGAAGTTAGAGCACCAACAGATTTTATCTTATCATCAGTATATGCTGGTTGGCTAGATTCATAATAAACTGAATCTGTTAAGAAATTGTTTAAAAAAAACGTTGAAGACAAAGGTTAATTTTCACTTGAGAACAAAACCTCACTATTAATGCTGAATAAAAGCAATATTTCAAGTTTGATTACGGATTACTATCAGCGACAGAACTATTGATAACTAGGTAGTACTGGTTCTAATTGAATTTTTGATTTTCCCGTCGATTGATTGGACCGAAGTGCTCGGTCTCAGGTTGACATGTCGGCTTCTTGTGCAGATGCTTCGACAATGTCTGGGCATTTAATTAGTATACAATTGGTGGATGGTGGCTAGCAGTGGAATCCAGGATGCGCATTTCGTCCTATTTGGGACTCGTCGTCTGGATGTACCTGCATTTCCCAGTGAGTGATGATGTTCCCACCGAGGCTCGAACCCTGTGCCCATAGTTCCAAATGCCAAAGCGTTATTCACTAGACCACTTGGGCCACGAGAGCCACCTCTTGTGCAACGGGTCATATCAATTTAATTTAATTTGAGATTTTCCCGTCGATTGATAGGACCTAAGTCACCATCCACCAATTAAGTACTGGTTCTAGTTTATGACTCTACGGCACTACGTAACCATGACCCAACACCAAGGGTCGAAATAGGGACCTCCAGGTGACGTCACCAATTCAGCCACTTGGGCCGGAATTCAATGACCTATGAATTGTAACTTCTATCAATTCACTGGTTCTATAAAACTGTGATATTAAACCCGTGGTCAAAAACTTGAAACAGATCAAACCTCGACAAACTAACTGTTAAGAAACAATATTATTTGGCAGATGACAACTAGCAGTGGAATTCAGCAGATGCAGATTTCGTCCCATTTGAGACTCGTCGTCAACTGGTGGATGCACCTGGAATTCCTGAGATTCAATGCCAGTGCCTATCATTTCAAACACTAAAGCATTATCCGCTAAGCCATTTAAACAAATTAATTAAAAGTAAGTTCAATGCAGTAATCCATCAGATGAGAGTGTATAGTCGACCCCCACCCCACCCCAAAGATTAATACTTCGCTTTTTACGCACCTGTTTCTTAGTCACAATTATATTGACTTAGATAATTTATACTTGATTCGATTGCAATTCTGTTCAAGTGGAGGAAAATGTGGTATATTGAAGAAATTTTTTACTTTTTTCAATAGATATTTTCATATTTTTCGTGCTCGGGAACATATCCCACTGTGGCTAAGTAAAGGCGTAGTTAAAACCATTAACAGTTCGATATTGGACCATTTCGTGCAAACAGGCCACAAAGCCAGCGTGGAAGAATCTTTCTCTATAATCTACCGGGTGCCAAATAAATTGCAAAAATCATCATCGAAGCACCGCATGCTCGAAACAGCAGAGGCTATTGCAATTCGCCTCAAACAACCAGTGCTCTGTGTGTAGAAGAAGCAAGTTCAGCCAGCACTACTACTGCCCTGGCCGGCCTTCAGTAGAGACTATAAATTCATGAATTTGTAATATTATCTTTCCTAATTTTTGTGACGTTCAGTTTATTTTTATCTTGATGCTATTGAGCTGTAATCTATCAATATTATTATTGATTCGATGTTATTTAAACAACTTGAATATTGTTCATAACACTAATTCATTCATTCACTATAATGTGTATACATAACTGTAGAACCTGATGATGAAGCTATCGAAAAGAGCACTCTTTGTTCAGTATCCATTCTTTTGAAATATTTGGATTAAATTGAACTTATCAGTTTATTCCCAAAGGAGAGATTCTTTTTTGTTTGACATAAATGTGTCATGAAAAAGAAATTTAAATCTGTGCATGCATATACAGATAAGGTATACACGAGAGGAACAGTAAATAAGGACACAATAAGAAGATTGTTTATTAATTCTCCAAAAAAGGAGACAAACTACCTAAGAGGTCAAGTGTGAATCTTGGTTTCCCGTATCATAAAAAACACCCTATCTGCAAATTTTCATTTATTCATATGATCTAAGGAAAAGTTTATTTCTGTTTTATATTTGTTTATGAAAGAAAGTCTGCATCAGAAGCACAACACTTCTCTTAGGATTGGTAACAATTTCTATGGGAAAACGCAGTAAAAATGGGGAGCACAAGTTTTGTAATTCTCCCTATAGGAATGTCTCCCAGGTTAAGCGAATCAACGACTTAGTAGTGCTATTGATCACCAGATTTTTTCTCATGCATCATTCTGTATCAATAAAGAAATCTTGTGAAGTTATAAAGTATAGGGTGACAGACAAAGTTGTTCGAAAGATTCCCAGCTACATGCAGAGGAAACTCTTCTTATATATTACAAGGAGAACCTAGAATTGCTAACATAGAAGTGATTTATCCAATCGCTTTTACTTCTCGTTTCTTTTTAAGCTTTCTAAAAATATACTTCACACACACATTTTGAATATATTTCTTACAGTTTTGATGATAATCATATTCTGAAGGGTGTTCATCACTTGATGGTGTTAGATTATGTAAGATTACTTAACTAATTAATATTATTAATTAACTGTTACTGACATTTTAAGACACTATATATATAACTTCCAACAAGTTTCTGAATTTAATTAATAATTGCCTTGCTGCCTCAATACTGAAGCTCAGAGGGCCGACTAGAAAGAATAAGCCATAAGAAACACCTGCAAGTAATTATTAAAAAGACGGTTGCGGCGAAAAAAACTTTCTTTTAGACGAAGTCATCAACTAGGCTGTACATTGGTGTATTCATATTACATGTGCAAGAAAGTTCCAGAATTATTTCCAGCCAGAGGTCAGATTAATAAAATTATAATGCGTAAAAATCAGGAAGATAGGGTAGAAAAGACAAAATAGGATTAAAACGACTAGAAAACTAGTCAATTTGTATAATTTCGAGTTAAGGATGCAGTATTAACGAAATGGGAAGGAGGTTCGGACGTATAAAAATAAAAACAGCAACAGTACATATAACAGATAAACAGGAAGGTTGGACAAGAAAGGTAATAGGATAATCATTATTGGTGAGACTGACTTTTCATGAAGGCCCCAGTAGGAACAACGGTTGGACGTATTTCTTTTAGACACATAGAATAGGCATGAGTTTTTGGATAGCCAGTGCTTCAGCTATTCCTAGATGTCTTGATTTCACTCCTTTTGGTAGGCTGGATCGGATCTTATATATGGCTTTGAAGAACTCTTCATATGGGGCTGGATGTCCACAATTCACCAGATGTTCTGTTATCGAACTGTATCCCCCTTTTCGGTTTCCCTTTGCTAGGCGTGCTGGATGGTGTTCCCATGCGAGTTTTACAAGCGGACAAGTAACAAATGAACGAGGAGCATATGTTTTTGATTACAGCTTGATTCCACACTGTATTTTCGGTACAAGTATGGAATTTTCAGCATGGATATCGGTAGCCCAAATTTCGCAGGCCAACCATAAATATCAGGTGTACGTCGGCAGGGGATCGAACCTCGTACCATCTACATGGTCGGCGAAAGTCCTAACCACTGTGCCCAACGAATATGCAGGATGAAATGAGGATGGATTAAATTATCGACTGACATCAAACGTCAGGCCCTCAAGTAGGACCCGAATCGACAACGAGGAGTTGGGTATGGGTGAAATTTTGTAAGGAATAAAAGAAAGCTTGTGAGAAATCGTGAAGTCAACTAAAAAGGACTACTGAGTCAAGTATATGTGTGTTGCTGAAATCTTATGTCCCAATAAGGATAATATTAATAATCATACTCTGTTGGATGAATAATAGGTGAATTAATAAATAAATGGAGTAAGAATGGCAGCAGTAAAAGATATACGCTTATTTATTTTCCATTCTTAAACCTATTTGTTGTTTGATCTAGGATAAAGTGAGTAACGCATTGTAGAATAAAAAGTTGTACACACACATTAGAGTGAATTTCAGAGACATCGTCACTGAGCTATTCAGCTTTGCAGCTGACCTCAAGTATGACTGTGGTGGATACTTTGATTGGATATTAGGGGTAGTAGTAGTAGTAGTAGTAGTAGTAAGAAATAGATACAGATGTAAAAGCTGTGAATAAGGTAAATCCAAGGGTGAGTAAAAACCATTGGATTTCGACTGCCTCATCCGAACTGATAGATGCTAGAAGACTTATTCCGGCGAGCTCCGAATTCAATGAGGAGCGAAAGCTGCACAAAAGGAAACTTACGAAAAGTCTCCGCAAGGACTGTAAACAGTGGAAAAAGCATCGGCGATAGGCAAAACTAGGCAACTCTTTAGACTCATCAGGGAAACGGGTGGAAGAAGGCAAATCATAAGTGAAACAATCTCGGAGAAAAATGGCATCATAATTAGCTCTCAGGATAGACGACTAGAACGCTGGAAAGAGCACTATGAGGAGCAGTTTAATTGGCCCACAGCCACGCTCAACCTTCCGAACATCCAACACCTCCCTGAATGGGATATAGACACAGGTCCTCCTTCCCTAACCGAGGTTACTATAGTTGTCACCAATCTGAAACTAGGCAAAGCAGCAGGACCTGATGGAATCACTTCAGAGGTATTTAAGCACGGTGGAGACAGTTTACTGTCCGGATTAACTGAAGTTCTAAGCAGCGTCTGGGAATCAGAAGAAGTCCCATCGGGTTGGTGTAAGTCACTGATTATCCCCATATACAAGAAGGGAGACAAGTCTTCCTGTGATAATCACAGAGGGATTAGCTTGACTAATATAGTATCTAAAGCCCTAGGCCCAATAATCATGCGTAGACTAAGTGATACTCGAATGGCACAAACACGAGAGAGCCAGGCAGGCTCTAGACCAGGAAGAGGGTGTATTGATCATATCTTCACCCTCCGACAGATTCTAGAACATAGGAATTCCTACCGGCGTCCAACAATCATTATATTTCTTGACCTAAAGGCGGCCATCATTCGATTCTGTCGACCGAGAGGTTCCCTGGCGATGCTTGGCTGTAAAGGGAATTCCGAGAAAATACATTGCACTGATTAAGGCACTCTACTCGTACTCATGCAGCCAGGTGAGGGCTTACGGCGAGTTGTCATCTGAAAGGGTGACGACTAGTGGTGTCCGTCAAGGGTTCCCATTATCCCCATTTCTATTCAATTTCATCATAGATGTAATGATGGACTTAACCCTAACTCACTTCAGAGACTCAGGGATTGACTTGTTACCATCAGAGAATAATCTCGTTGACTTAGAATGTGCAGACGATATAGTCCTTCTACGCGAGGACGCTGACAAAATTCAGTCTTCTGAACACCTTGAGCTGCAATCTGCGAATGTTTGGTATGCGATTCGCTCCCGCCAAATGCAAGATGATGTTACACGACTGGACTACATCGACTCCTAGTTTAAAATTAGGAAGTGAAGTGGTAGAGCACGTTGACCGCTTCACTTATTTGAGAAGTACCATCAGCCCCAACGGGTTGATCTCTGACGAAATTTCAGCACGAGTACAGGGAGCTAGTTTCGCATTTGCCAGTTTACACCGTCTCTGGCGTAGACGAGATATTCGACTATCGATCAAAGGGCGGGTGTACTGCTCATCAGTCCGCTCCGTCCTGCTTTATGGCCAACTGTGAGACCTGGCCAGTGAGAGTGAAAGACATGAAAAGCCTGTCTAGCTGTCTTTGATCATAGGTGCCTGGGCTCTATTTCCCGTGTGAAGTGGTATAATAAGGTGAGCAACATTGAAGTTAGGCGTCGAGTTCTAGGTAAACAGGGGAAATCAATCGACGAGATTGTGAAATTACATCGACTGAGATGGTTAGGATATGTGTTAAGTATGCCTAGTCATCGCCTTCCTCGACGAGCAATGTTAGCGGATATAGGGTCAGGCTGGAAGAAAGCTAGCGGAGGTCAAACAAAAACATGGCTTTACCAGTCAATGAAATCCACAACAGTTAGTTTAAGCCAGTCAGCCACGTAGGAAGGTGTAGACTACCTGACTGGTTGAGGTCCTCGGAACAGTAAAAACCAATGAATGCTAGAGACAATTGGTGATATGGCTCAAAATCGTTCTCAATGGCTAGGGCAGATGCATTCACTCCTTGTGACTTATGATTTCTAATGAAACTGTTTTGTTCTTCATTATTACTCTTCCCTTGTCTCACACCTCTGCTTACTATCTCTATTATGCATTTCTTGTACTTTCTTCTCTTGCTTTGTGTGCTGCAAGGAGTGGAGTGTGGACACTTGAACTTCCGCACATATGTGAAAAGTTCTGTGTCGAAAACTGACAGACAGACAGTAGTAAGAAATGGAGGATTTAATCATGAGCTGACATCAGTTAGAGAACCACTGGAAAACCTGGGAGTACTGGACAGCTGTTTCGTCCTAGTTTGAGACTCTTCAGCAGTACGCACCCACCGGGATTCGAAACCAGGACCTTCTGGATCGGGTCCCAGCGGCTCAATGGTCTACGAGCTCGCCTTGTAACCAGAAGGTCCTGGTTCCGAACCTCGGTGGGTGCGTACTGCTGAAGAGTGCCAACCTAGGACGAAACAGCTGTCCAGTACTCCCAGGTTTTCCAGTGGTTCTCTAACTGATGTCAGCTCATGAATAAATCCTCCATGCAATCAAACAAAATCCCTACAAAACCAATACTTGAAAATTAATCTGATGCTCACTAGTGACTGGCCCTATTCAGGCAGTTAACCTGGGGTTCTAGTGGGAAGCCGTGACCAGTAGGGTACAGCAGGTTGAAGATGAGGCAGTAACTCATCGAAGAAGACATTGCGAAGTGGTCGCGCTATGTCGTGAATTGGCAGAAGTTAGAATTCAAGGACCATTGGATCAGGTCCCAGTGGCTCAATGGTCTACGAGCTCGCCTTGTAACCAGAAGGTCCTGGTTCCGAACCTCGGTGGGTGCGTACTGCTGAAGAGTGCCAACCTAGGACGAAACAGCTGTCCAGTACTCCCAGGTTTTCCAGTGGTTCTCTAACTGATGTCAGCTCATGATTAAATCCTCCATGCAATCAAACAAAATCCCTACAAAACCAATACTTGAAAAGTAGTAAGAAATGTTGTGCATCTGGTTCTTAGTGTTGGAGTAGACTCAATCCTATTGTCACTCAAGTTTGGATTCTAGCCAGTCTGTTATTTTTCCGAATAATGAAGTACAAGTAAACAGTGCTTAACATCAAAATTGTATTCATAAATATATGATCTCCAAACTAAGATTATGACTCACTTGTTCGTTGACTTTCATTTACACGAACAGATTGCTTTGAGGAAGATTTAGAAGAATCTAATGGAGATTCGTTTGAAATAACTGATGAACCGTTTGTTGAAGCGTCAGTTATAGGAATAGGTATATCATTAGACAGATTGTCAGAATAAGCAGAAGCAGAAGCACTAGTTGACGTCGCTGTAACAGTATCACCATCAACTGTTGAATAGGTACTAATTCTTGATCCTGTTGATGGTTGTGAAAACTGAACTGGCATTTTCAAGTTACCTTCATTTTTTAGAATTGGACCACGTGGAACACGTGCAAAAGGACTGGATGGATGGTGAGTGATGACAGTGTTACCACGAGGTGAACTTGCAAAACTAACTAAATACATGTATGAAAAAAAGAAAAAGAAAAATCAATTTAGAACGCTAACAAGCAAACAGAAATATTGATTTACACGTGAGCATATGAACGATAACTCAGCGAGGCGTTTGGAGTAAACACAGGAGTCAGACAAGGGTGCTTATTATCACCAATGACATTCCTAATTGTGATGGACTGGATTATGCGTCAGAGAGTGAGTGGGAAACGAGAAGACAGGGATATCCTGGGCCGACGTGATGAACCTAGAAGGCCTGGATTTCCCGCGAGGATGATTTATGCTTGATGTCACACAAAATCGAAGACTTACAAGCGAAAACCGACAAACCGGTCGAAGAAGCAGTCGGCAAAGACAGGACTCCAAGTGAACATAGACAAGACGGAGGTGATGAAAATAACCAACCAACCAACAACAACAGCAGCAACATCCAGCGCCAATCACCATCAACGGGAGGGATTTGAAAGAAGTTACTCCATTCACTTATCTAGGGAGCATTGTCTCAACTACAGGCAGTGGGAACGGACGATGATGTCAAGTCGAGCGAGAATCGGGAAGGCTGGCGAGAAACACATTCATCAACCTGAAATCAATCTGGAAATCTTCGTCACTCAGCATCAACAACGGAATTCGGTCGGATTTTCAATACAAACGTCAAGTCAGTCAGTTCTTCTATACGGATCAGAAACTTAGCGGGCGGGTCACAAAGAATATTTCCAACAGGCTATTGCAGACCTTTATCGACAACTGTTTTCGCTGGATCTATACTGAAGATCAGATGGCCGGTCCGGAAAGAATCACCAACAAGAAACTATGGGAACAAACAAACAAAACAAGAACCAATCAATCGCCAACCAACAAATATGCAGGAGAAAGTGGAGATGGATTGGACACTCGTGGCTGAGGAGGCCGCTGGGTGACATCGCGTGCGCGTCAGGCCATTGCTCGAGTGGAACCTGAAAGGGGAGCGGCGAGTGGGACGCCAGTGGAAGGGTGACATGGAGGAGATCGTGTGAAGTGAAGAGGAGTTGAAAGAGTATGGTCTAACATGGATGCAGGTGAAAAGTACAGCAGAGAAGAAGACAGAAGCAAGTGGAGACGTACAGTTGAAGCCCGATGTTCCACTAGGAACCCAAGGGGACAATAATAATGATAAATATGAACGATAAACTTTACAGACGGTACCTAAACAGGAATGTATTTTCAAAAGACCGAATAATCTTTTAAGGTCCTTCAAAATAGAGCTAGATATGATATGATTAGATTTGAGAACTATACGACGAAGCTTATCACATATTTGAGGATAAGAGGTTAAAACACAAAAACGAATAAAACTCCACAGGATCTGAGCTAAATTTTTAGATGGACATAACTAAATCCTATCCTTCTATCGTCCCACACAATTTTTTGCAAAAACGCTATCTACACATTGTATCATAGTCAACTGGTTGACAACACAAATGTTTTCAGACGATGGGACACGAAATGCAACGATAAATATGACAATGCATACATCATGAAATGATATGTAGATAATGGGATTTTGTGGAGAATTGGATTAATTTCAACACGAACCAAAATCATTGCAAACCAATGATTTTAAATATGTCAATCTCCAGCTCACTACTGATAGCTACTGGATGGTTTTCCTGAAGCTGTACTGAGAAATCAAATTCAGTGGGGTTCACTATGTCAGCGTGAAGTGGATGCTCATCGTAAGGTGTGTCATGAATTAACAAAGTAAGAATCTTTACGAACCATTGAATCTAGGTCCGAGGTGGCTGAATGGTCAACGAACTTGTCTTCGGAATCTGAATGTTCCCAGTTTGATCCCTGGTGGGGTCGTAGGTGTGCACTATTGAAGAGTCCCAAACTAGAATGAAACAGGTTCCCAATACCAGTCCCTCCCGCCAGAGCGGTTTTCAATGGTCCCTAGTTGATGTTCTTCCGTGTGACGAAATCGACATTGAAATAATGTGATAGGTACGATCAAAGCTGTTGAAAACTCAGACTATCATTACCACTCTACAACCTACTCTAGACTGAATTATGCGATATAATTATTAATTATATGGACGTTGATATTACTGCCCAGTTGACTAGGCTAACTTAGTTGGAGTAGGTTTCAAACCCGCAAACCAAAGGCTAAAATCTAGATACTTAAGCCAAGAAGCCACATCTCTATCTATAGTATAAACATTCATCTTTTTGATTGGACACTAGTCAGTAACTAGTATAATGTATCTAGTCCTATCTTTGGTGCACACAGAATTCTATCAGCTAAGTTTGCGATGTAACCACCATGCTTGCTAGGTGGCTTACCATCACGATGCACAATTGAGTTCTTGGTATTAGATGGCTGCAAGCAATCGGCATGAAGCCTTGGACCTAGGTTTCCTGCTAGTCGGCACTCATCAGCAAGACGTATCTGCAACCTTGAAGGAACTCATGTCCCTTCTGATAGGAAGCCTGTCGATTGCTTCCAACCATCGAATACCAAACATTCATTTGAAACGTGAACATTTGATTGTATACTATCCTCGTTCGAAGTCAGAGTTTCTGTAATACGTCAATATTATTTTAAGCAATAAACTGTTGTATAAAAGCAGTGTCAAACAAACTATGCTATGAATGCAGCAAACAGAAGACTTTTGAATAAAAACAAATATCAGCATGCCAACTTTATTACTTGCTGATGACATAGACAAACACAACGTGACTCTGCTTTCACACTTTCATACAAACAATGGCTGTGAAGGTGACACAAGTCGTCTAATTAAAAAAACACGACAGACCATCCATAGAAATAACATTGAATCTATGTACACATTTTCGCTAAAATCATTGATTGTCCGTCGCATTGCTTGCAGGCAGAATAGTCAAGTTGACTGAAATTAGATGGCACATAAATGTGAATCTGAACTAAAGTGATTATGTACAGATGGAATAAAATCCTGACAGCTTAAAGTCTTCTGCTTGTTAATTGTTTTTTTTGGCGAGATGTCTCTGTAAACTTAAATAGAGAATTAAAGCTACGTCAGAAACTATAATGTGGTTAGGTAAATTACTACTGATCTAATTGGATCAGAGATCAAGACTGTTGATCCATTGTTACATCAGATTAAAGACACTGATTATTTGGTTACCTTTTATTTGATTAACTAAAAGAAAAGAGTTCGCAACTAGTTGACAATAAGTAGTGGAATCGTCTCCCAACCACGCTACACGTGATCTAGGGTTCGATTCCTAGATGAGATACTCCTAAAGACTCGATTAACCAGTAGAAATATCCATAAGGAAGGGAGGTTGGGTGTGCGGCTAGCAACTTCACACTGTGAAAAGAAACGCCACTGCTCCTGGAAACTTTAAAGCTCAAGCTTGAAGCCATCTACGTCTCACTCGGAAAGCGAAGGAATAAAATCATAGTAATAAATCGATGATAATAATAAGAACAAATAGTTTGATTATTACTTCTACTACCCTGCTTCATTTCGGCATTACAAATATTAGTAAACATGTGACACAATGGAACAATGATTGTTTACTTAGACTAAATTGTTGGTAAAATAAAAGAATGAATAAATATGTACTGTTAGACTAAATAAATAATTCATAAAATATGATAAGCATATAAAAGGCGTTTATTGAAACAGCAATGAATTAAACATTACGTGACAAGCAGAAAGAAAAACGAAGAATAGAGCTCATAGTTGCTGAGTACAACATAAGAATGAATATAAAACGACACCTATGGGTTTGTTTAATCAAATCTGAACTAATTGCTGAAGTTACCACAGACCCACAGAATATCTCCCAATGATCTCTCAATCAAGAACTAATAAAAATAGGGAGGTGTTAAGATGGGCAAGCTTCCTAATTATCCGTGAAGTTGTCATGAATGCATGTACTGACATACTGGCCTGATTGCACAGTTGTGATTCATTTCTGTGTGGCTTAAGGTTCTGAGGGATTTCAATATCATACAACTAGTTAGATTTGTTTTATGTATTTTGTCGAATAAAAGTTGTCGTTCCAGTCTTCGTCTTTTGCGCCTATCACAGTGTCCGAGAATATTTCAAGAGATCAATTGGTTATATTGTTGGGTGCTGGAGGCGCATTCCAGTGAAGTTAGACGAACCATTAGTGCAGAATTACTCCATTGTAACAGAATTTGTTATGCAAAGGCTAGGTATCATAGCTCTATCAGTAATCCAACCAAGAAATATGAGCATATTACGTGGATAACACATTGGGCAAAAATAATTTAGTAAGCACTCAAAATCATAATTACAAAACAAAGTTCCACTCAGTTACAAAAGTAACCAATGCACAGTAACACAAAAGAACAAACATTCATTCGAAACGACCAAGACGCAGTTAAAAGAACTTCGACCTTGAGAAGAGTAGAAGAGAGAGAGAGAGAAAAGAAAGCTGTACACGACTTAAACCAAGCGATTAGTGTAAAATCACCCACTGGAACTACAATGGAAATCGTCCTAAATTAAATGAAGAACATTTCAGAAATCACTAACAGAACCTGTTTAAACAAGCATCGAGCACTCCAGCTTCTACAATGCAGACCGAAAGACCCAACACACAGCAAATAAAGAAAAAATCAATATCATCTATAAGATAATTTGCATAAACTGCGAAAAACGCAATATTGGCAGAGACAGATGTCCCTTTAACCCTCGAATCTACGAAAATTGATATTCAAGTAATCTAAGATGTATTGTTGCATGCTATCAACGCATATGGAAAACTATGGATACCAACTCCACTGCAAAAAACGTATAAAACTTCAAGCAAGAGAGAAAATACTAATAATGACAGGAAAATTCCTAGTAGCTTGGCATACAGTTGACGGACACGTTGCTAAAGATCGAATTTATCGATAACTGAAAAATTAGTTACACTTTTATTAAGGTCAGATATCAGGTCAACGAAATAATCAATACAAATACTAGTCAGGAAAATGATAGGACGGATGGCAGTATTGATATATTGAAGGATTGACAGAAAATACAATTCATGGCTCACTAGTCGAATTGTGATATGCAACTCCCGTGGCTTGAACGTTCGGGGTTCTAGTACCGATGAAGAGTCCCAAACTGGGGCAAAGTAGCCGACCTTCAATAGTTTTCCAGCGAATACCATTTCGTGACGATACCTAACTTAAAAGCATCAACTATATAATAATATGATGGTGTATATTGCTCATATAAAGATACTAAAAATCACTTTTTCGATTAGACATTAAGAAGTCCTTCGTTTGGTGCAGACTATCGTAAACGTCATTAGTTGCTTTCTAGCATCCAGTCAGAAGTATCCACTGGAGGAAAATCACGAGTCTGAATAGTTCAGAGGTAACATCTCTGACTGTAGCATTGGTTGACTCGCGTTTGAATCTCAGAAGGGACATAAGTTCCTTCTGAGATTGCAGATACGCTTCACTGATGAGTGTTAACAAGCATAAAACGTAGGTGGTCAAAGGTTTCCTCCTGATTGCCTCCAATCATCTGACAATACTAGGAATCACTTAATTAGCAAAATATTCGTTCAATACGATGAATTTATCGTGAAATTCGTTAACACGAAATATTCACCTGAACCATACGATTTAAGCGGTAACAACAGACATGGTAGTTCAATGTTAGCAGCATGCTTGCCAACCACACACATAATCCTAGTTCCATTCTGTACCGGTAAATTTCGAAACTAAACTTTGCTCCGACGGTAGTAAGTTTTGTAAAGATAGAAGGTTGGGTGTGAGGGCCTAGCAAACCCACCGGCTATAACAAAATAGAAACCAAAACAGAACATCATCACTCAAGGTTGAAGCCCAATATTCCATTCAGAACGCAAAAGAATAAAGAAAAAAATAGACAACAAGGCAAGAAGCATTAAGTATATATATATATATATATATTCAAATCCCACTGTTGCCATTTTGTTATGAAGAATTAGGTAGATTTACAGGCCGTCATTCAATGAGTCAAGTAAGTATTCCCTACAGCTTACTACTGTATCAACTTCTACTGAAATCACTACACAATATATGTATTATCCAGTTTAAATGAAAAGTAGTCATTATTAGAAAAATTCCTTTTTGGGCAAGAAAATAAGTAAATAGTTTGCATCAATTGCTAAGTTGACACTTACCACTTGGCTGTGAATTACTATTATTACTGTTATTCTTCATCTGAATGCCAATGGAATTACTGATGACATGAGTTTCACTATTCACAATTGGACTGACACAGGATAACATCGGTGACATTGACTGTTCATTTCTGCCTTGAAAAGATTCCGTCTTCACTGTACACGGATTATTATTCATAGGAGTAGTAGTAGAAGTTGTTGTTGTTGTTGCTGTTACTGGTCCTGACGAATTAACATTTTCTGTACAATTACAATGATAATGATCCATATGATTGATGTAATTATCATGGTATGGAGGACTAAAGGAACGGTGAGAAGAAAAGAAAAAGACAAAAGTATAATAATAGAATGTAAAAAGCATTAAGTGATCACATAACTATTATTCCCTTGAGTTTCGACCGGAAGAAAAGTCTTCAACAACACATCTCTACTTCGTTCTATTTTCCGCTGTCCTCTTCAGCTGGCTAGCCCCACACGATTACTCACAATTCATCGCCACACGATCTCCTCAATATCATCCTCGACTCACTCTTTGCTTCCCATTGGGATTCCACTAGAGCGATGGCCTACATTGCACGTGTGATGTCATCCGATGACCTCCTCAGAGTATGCAAGATCCATCTCCACTTTCTTTTGCGCACTTGTTGAGCAATCGGCTCTCGTCTGTCGGTTTGTTCCCATCCGGACAGAGTTTCTTGTTGTTAATTCTTTCCGACCGGTTGGCCATTTGCATAACAGTCGTGACCAAGAGATCAACTGATCATATGGGTCAGAGAAAATGACGCAATCAGGAGATAGTGTAATGAGGAAATGAAAGCTTTTTGGCGATCGTAAAACTAACTAGCTAAAAAGGACTATACAGAACAGAAATGAAATGTCGATGTGATGCTGAAAGCCCCATGTTCCACTCGGAACCCAAGGTTAGTGGCATCGGTGATTTAGTGGTAGAATACCCGAAAACGACAGACATAGTCCGGAGTTCGATCTCCCGACGCCATTGTACTCCATAACGTCGCTTAGTTGGTAGTACACCCGACAAAGAGAAAACGTTGGGCGTGAGACTAGGAATCCCACCTCATAAAAAAAGAAACACCATTGCTACTGAAGCCTAATGTTTCACTGGGAATGCAATAGAATAAAATATAAATAAATAAAAGCTCAGTTTAGTCAGAAAGGTTTATAAGATTTCCATCTCCGACGTCATGTAGTAGAACACTAGAGCAGTAAATGAATTGATGTAGCTATGGGATTATCAATGTTCCGTTGTTTGACACTTCCACTTATCATTTCAGTGTATCTACAACAGTGAAATATTATTCCAAAAGTGGGAAATAATTATTTATGCAAAGATAGTGTCACTCATGGATCCAGTAGACAGGGGAAAAAACAGGATCCAATGTATGTAAAGGCTATTTCATACGTAATATATAACTACATTGCGTACTTCACTCTCTTACTGGGGATAACTAACCAGCTAACTAACTAACTAACCCGTTTCATAACAATTCGAATACACAGCCATCTAGTCCATATACAGCCTATCTCATCTTAAATATTTTAACCAGATAATTGATAATTAAAAACACAGTTGGCATAGAACAAAACTGACGACCAAAAAACGCAGATTTGATGAAATATCAGCTGCTTTTTAGTCTTCACAACCCTACTCACCACTATCTTCGTCACATGTTCACAGGTCTAGTTTATTTACTGCTTTTAGCAGTTCATTTGCACAAAGATGTTTGATCATAGATTTGATCATGAGCCGACAACAGTTAGAGAACCGGTGAAAAACCACCAGGGAGTACTGGACAGCAGTTTCATCCTAACTATGGGACTCTTCACCGATACGTACCCAACCAGGTTCGAAACCAGTTACAAGGTGAGCTCGTAGACCATTCACAACCACTGAATGACCAATGACCAGCCTATGAATCCTATTATGTATTACTGATTATAGTCACTAGTCAGCCATTATAGGCAACATAGCCAACACTTTCCGTATATATACATACAGAAAGTAATTCATCCAATTAATATTATTCTGATAAATAGGAAAAACAAAAGACTGATATGAACAAAGAGAACTAAAATCGATTTTTTTTAAATTACTGTACACACTTCCTAGACAGTTATTTCAAAAGCAGCAGTATCGCTCTTTTTCTCTTCTATTTCTAAACGGTTAATCAATATAAAACTATCAAACAAAACGAAAAAAACAAGAAGAAACAAAGAACACTAAAAACAGCCAATCACAACTATCTGAGTTTGAATACCAAATGATTTACTACTGAAAATTCTAAAATAAGCAAGATTGAGTAGGTGAGGTCGAGGTAATTAGAGAAATGCAGAAATTGCGAAATTCAATATATATGATTGCTGAATGGCGACATAATTGCATAATTTGAGCGTATACCTTTCAAATTGTATATATATATATATATATATATATATATATATATATATATATATATATATATATATATATAAGATTGAGGGTATTAGAAAAAGCTATACGAAGATATAATCGGGAAAAAGGTGAAACAATTTCTGGGATGTTTTTCAGCCTTCGGTTGACTTCTGCTTGACATATGGATAGGTGAAATGTTGAAAAAAAAAAGGGTCACTACACCGTGAAGCTCGATTCCACCTTAATGATATATGTTTGTCTATCTAGCTGGCTGATAGACAGTAGTAAACCATTGTTAATAATAATAATAATAATATACTCTATTCGAAATAGTAATACTCATACAGAATGGGGTTTTCAGCACACATTGTACACACTGCAACAATTTAGGTCCTTCTATAAATATACAAATACAATAAAATAGTAAAAATAATAAAATCACGAAAACTGAGGGTTAGTGTAATATAATGAATAATAATTCTGATTATAAGTTCCTGTTTATTTACTTATTTAAAAAGTTTATAAACTCCTCTTTTCTGATATTTGTCTTTTCACACGAAAATCTGTGCAAAATATGATACGGTTGAACTTTTATATTTCATTGTACGAGGATAATTCTTATGAAATTACTTCTGGTGTCACCCCTCGAAGAGATACAAGGAGAAAGTTGCGAATAAAGAGGATGTTGTGCGTCGGTGGCAACGCGGTGGAATGCTCGCAGACCACACCCATGTGGTCCGGAGTTCGACCTCCGGCCGCCAACGCACTCATTTACGTCGCTAAGCCGATAGAGAAAGAAGGTTGGGCACGAGGCTAGCAACCCCATTCCGTAAAAATAAACACCACTGCTACAGAAACTTCAAGTCTCTAACTTGAACCAGGAACGTAAAGGAATGAAAAAGAGGAGGTTCGATATTAAGCGAAAAAAATTTAGCCATTGGCTTGCAAGAAGTAGGATGCATACCAACAACAATATGTCAGTTAGAGGAGTCAAAGATACACACACACAAACACCACTAACCCTGTTTACAGCCTGCAGTATTCTAAGTAAGAGTCTATTTTGAGGAGCCCAGGTAAGAAATAAGGTGGAATAATAAAGAAGAATGAGCAGAATACCTAAATTAATAAATTGTAAGATAAAAAGTCACGAAATCTTAACTTCCATGTGCAATAAGTCAAACGGAAGAAAAGAAACTGATGCCAGGATAGGAGATATTCGATTTACTGGCAGTCGTCACAGTACCGTCAACATAACAAAAATCATGGGACTGAATCAGTCCACGAAAGTCTTGTTCAGGTCTGAAACTAAAATCAACAATATGACATTTAGATGGATTCAATTTTGAGACCATGTAGGTGAGACGATTGATTAAAGTTAGATAAGAAACTGTTCATCATATCAGAAAAATTCAATGCATAAATGACTAGAACAGAAATCGTTGGATCACCAGCATATTCAATGAAATTAGCTTTAAAAGAATACGGTAGGTCAAGCGAAAGAGGAAGGAAAACAGTGGAGAAAGTACAACACCTTGAGGAATATTCGCCTCCGTAAGCAGTATGCTGTTTCCCACCTTAAAAAATAGAAAGACAACCACCACCACCACCATCTTGTTACCCAGGTAGATTCTCAGTGAGTGCTAAAATCAGCTTGCTTAGCAAAATTACCCTAAGAATCCAATCAAAAGCAGCAGAGCAGTCTAAAAAGGAGGGTGGAACAAACTTTGCAGCTTCATCTAGCCTCGGAACAATATTGGTGACCTATTACCCCCTAGTCAGTCAGTCAGTCACACACCAACTAATACCAGCCAGTTGGCAGCCGGTCTCCCCATAAGTGAAACATTGTATCATCACTAGGGGAAAAAAATCAGAATAGAAAACATCATTTTCTTCTTGCATAAAATATGCCACAAAGAAAAAAAGACAACACAACAAAATATTCATTCGACTTGAATAGATATTAGTATTAATCATAGTAATATATAGACAAATAATAAAAAAACTAAGCTGAAAAATATAAGAGGCAACACAACAGAGGAGGAGGAGAAGGGAATGTTGAAAGTGAATAGGCAGCATTGAAATATTCATAAACTATGTGCTTTATGCAGACATATAAATCTATCATTTGATGAACAGCTGTATTCTATCAACACAACAAAAACAAAACAGACAAATGCAACCATAATCACCACCACCACCATCACTATACATCTCGAATAAATGTGGCTTTTCAATTCTGCTTTATATTTCATCCTAATACTACGACTACTAATATTACTGACCAGCATACCCCAGGGAATCAATGTTTCTAAAATATATACATCAAAAATATAACAAGAGATTTTAACACGTTATAGCAGCTGACTAGAAATGGTGGTATCACTATGTTGATGTTGTCACTGGTTCTTTTCTCTTGTGAAGGAAGGAAGGAAGAGGAAATGACCTTCTATACAGTTTGACTTTTTGTAAAGAACAATTATTTACAACAACAACAACAACAACAAAAAATAAGCATCGAACAGTTGCTTATCATTTGTTCACAGAAGAAGAAAAACAACTAATCAAATACTCAGTGATTGCAGGGTAACTTGACCAATAATTTATAATTGTATTAAAGTGATCATCTGTACGCAGAGGGTTCTCAGAGGTTGAATGAATGCTGGCCAACTCCATACATTTGGGGTCGTGCTTAGCCTGTGCCTGTGCTTTATCTACCGTGTGAAGTGGTATAATATGGTGATCAATATTGAAGTTAGGCGTCGAGTGCTAGGTAAGGAGGGGAAATCAATCGACGAGGCTGTGAAATTACATCGACTAAAATGGTTAGAACATGTGTTACGCACACCTAGCCTAGCCACCGCCTTCTTGTTAGTTTACATAGGGTCAGAC